TTACATATGTTCTCGTCACTTTACCACTGACAGTCACTCCCGCAAACAAAACGAACCTGTACCGAGCCGATGAGTAAGGCGCCTTAAGTTTTAAAAGTTGTCATAAACAGCATATTATTATCTATCTAGATATTTTTTTTACGTGTTTTTTGTGTTGCTTATATTTTATTTAGTATGTAGTTACTAGTCGCGTCATGTAATTAGAACGCTGGAAGAAAGTGGAGAGAGTATGTTTGCGCATAGCTACACTAGCGCACCAAAGTACTAGGCCTCTGTACAATGGAGATCCGGCACTTTTCATAGAAGAAATGCTAAACTTGTATACAGTTGAATTTGGTCTCAAAATGAAGCCAAAATTATTTGCTACATAAAACTAATTTTGCCTTATTTTTAGTGAATCGTGGAAAGAAGTTATATAATGATTAATATTTTTTGATATAGAAACCCTAAATCTTCAAGGGACAGAATTTTACTTGAAAATATTACTCAAGTGACTGTAAAAACCATGATTCCTTTGCTTTTTCTAAATAAAAAACCAAATGACAATTTGACAATCCTAAAATACAAACAAAAAAATCATTCGCTCCCGCGTACTGTGATTGTGAATGTTCTCTGCTGTGATTGCCTTTTTATCCGTTATTTCTCTCGACGACCAGGCTACATATAGAGGTTATATTGACAAACCTACGTATTTGACATTGACAGCTAGCTGCTGATGACAAATATTGCCAGACTACGTTACCCAATTATGAAACACAGATAAAAAAATTAAAAAAGTATACAACTTTGGCACATAATGCCGGGTGTCCTTTATTTATCGATAGAACATATCGATATTTTCTAAAATCGATCTTACCCTTATCACTTCGCTGCACTGAGTATATCATCTGACCTTGACGTGTCCAATCACAACGCGGCTGATCTCCCTGCACGCCGCCGACTTTGGCGATTTTGATTTCAAACAAAATTTGCGTGATGCGGACTCTAGTGGGGGTACTCCGTGCCACTTCCCGATTTGAACTTCACGGATTCCTAAAGTATAATAGAACATGGAAAATAGGTGGCGTTGACAAAAGTGGCGTATAAGTAGTTTTTGACGAAAACTTATTTGAAATCATTTTCAAGGAAATTCTTAGGATAAACTTTGCTAAATTAAAAGCACGGATAGCTATTAATATAAGTATTCTTATAGTATCAGCCATGTCTAAAAAACTGACATACTTTTTGCTACTACGATAGTTAAAGTGCACCTCTACCTCGGCGGATAGAAGTTTTTATGTAATTTTACTACCTTTCGACCTTGTTTCACATTTCATTCGAAATATATTTTTTGTTTATTATAAATAAATCATTATGTCCACTTGAGTCACTTTGTTGCTTAATCCAAAGCCGTCATCGAAAATCCGATATCTATAATACTTTTCAAAATACTGACCGCAGAGAAAACAGTTTTCAAAATCAGCAAAAAATGGCGGCCTGACCCATATATGGCCTTAATATTTTATTTAAAATACTTTTAGTTCTATTCAATAAAAAAAATCATTCGTGGCCGCAGACTTCGAAAATCAAGCCACTTTTACCCAAACCCCTTTGACATTGACATTTTGGTTTGCAAACTATTCGAATTTGATAATGGTTCGTGCTAGGGGTACTGAGAGTTGGACATTTTGCTAATTAGGCTTTCTGCTCATTAGACTGTTCGCGATGTTCGACTTTTTGCTACTTAGATCTTTTGATCTTAAAACCTTTAAACATCAATATCTCTAATCAAAGAGGTATCAGTGGGTACAAATTGACGTGACGATCCGAAGCTGTGCCTGGGCTGATGCATACTTAAATTCATCATGGATGATAAAATATCATTTTCGGTCGGCCGCGCCGGTCACTCATTCATACTAGCGCTGAGCCGAAGCGCATCGAAGCGTCATTCAGAAAAGTAACAGCAAATTCGCATCTTAAGTTTCTAATATGCGCAATGCGTTGCGGAAATAAGGGTTAATTTGCTATATTACTTTCACATCCTAATTGATGTGCATCTGAATTGAGTGATCCGTTTTTAGTTTTCAATAAAACCAAAACGTACATTAAGGCGTTGAGCAGACGACGGGGCGGGGCGGGCATTTTGTCCGCGAAGCAATAAAGACCGCGTCTGCCCGTCGATGTCTGCGGCTGCCCGCGCCGCGTACACAAAGCACACGATAGGCAGAGGCGGTCAGTTTAGGACGTTCGTTCTAGTGAATAGTCCATCACTAATAAGCGCGTAGCGCGGACTCAGCTGACCGCCCCGTGCCGCCGTCTGCGTTACTGCATATACTTAAACTGGTTTGTATGATCCACGGCGGGCAGCTGCGGACATGCCGCGCCGCCACTGCCCGCCGGGCACCTGCGGCGCGGTCTTTTTGCCCTGTGTGCGTTTGAAGTATAGGATTCACTTTGTGCTATTATTCGCGGCGAAATTGACCGGCCCGCCCCGCCACGTCGTCTGCAAAGTGCCTTAGTGTAAAATTGTCAAAACTCATAACCGAAATCAAAAAATTTGTCACTCTCAGACGATCGAAGATATTGCCCAAAATGTGGATCACTCAATTCAGACATTAGGCAAAATAGTATATGCTGAATCTCAGAAAACTTTAACGTTGTGAACGAAATTTTGATATTAAAAAATTGTACAGAATTTGTCACATTATTTAACAAAAAATCAAGTTACTTCAACGTAAATCCAGGAATCTATGAGTTTCATTGGATCACTCAATCCAGACGCATGTAGCTTGAGTGATCCTAGAAATACGGCTTTATGTTTACGAAGTGCATAATATTTTTAAATCACCTTGAAGTTAACTTTTGGAAATATCTGTACAAATTAATAACACACCACAAATGTTTATAGTTAAAAAGTTATGACCAATAAAACATTTTTTAATTTGCTGAACTGAGTGATCCTTATAAACGCATGTAGATAACTATCTCTTGGTATAAAGTATACATAAAATAGGTTGAAAATTTGTACAATATTTTGACTCAAATTTGGTATATAATTTGTTTGAATAGGTCATTTCATTCGCGAGATTTTCGTTTTTATTTTATTGTCAAAAGAAAAGACCAGTAGGGTGACCATAATACTATATTTGAAAATTAAAGGCTACAAACATAAACATTTTTCTTATTTATTGAAATTATAAATCGCAAAATACGTATATGAGTGATCCTTATAAACGCATGTAGATAACTACCTCTTGGTATAAAGTATACACAAAATAGGTTGAAAATTTGTACAATATTTTGACTAAAATTTGGTATATAATTTGTTTGAATAGGTCATTTCATTCGCGACATTTTCGTTTTTATTTTATTGTCAAAAGAAAAGACCAGTAGGGTGACCATAATACTATATTTGAAAATTAAAGGCTACAAACATAAACATTTTTCTTATTTATTGAAATTATAAATCGCAAAATACGTATATAAGTACATGTAAAAAAAATGGGTGATTCTTTTTTAATGTTATAAATATTTTGCATATTATCATCGTAGCAAACCAAGCGCCCGTTTATATAGCCGTGGGCTCGATAGTGACCGATTCCACCAGGTTGCATAGAAGGTATAAATTCTATACCTCCTAGTAATCTGTAGGACCTATTTATAATTAAAATCCTTTCGGGCACATCATATAAATTTATTTTTTCTGTTCCATTTACCTCCTCATCAGCAACAAATCAATCAGCATCAAAATAGAAAACAAATCTCCCTCTTTATCAGCAGCTGAAAGTCATTTTAAAACATTAAAAATTTAATTTTTAATACAAAGCTATTCAGATACCGAATCGATCAATTTATAAAAACTTCTTTAGAATATTTAGAAGGAGAACTCGAACTTGCTATATGTGATATTTGCGATTTATAATTTCAATAAATAAGAAAAATGTTTATGTTTGTAGCCTTTAATTTTCAAATATCGTATTATGGTCACCCTACTGGTCTTTTCTTTTGACAATAAAATAAAAACGAAAATCTCGCGAATGAAATGACCTATTCAAATAAATTATATGCCAATTTTAGTCAAAATATTGTACAAATTTTCAACCTATTTTGTGTATACTTTATACCAAGAGGTAACTTATCTACATGCGTTTATAAGGATCACTAAGTTCAGCAAATTAAAAAAGGTTTGATTGGTCATAACTTTTTAACTATAAGCATTAGGTGATAAAAAAATATTATGCACTTCGTAAACATAACGCCGTATTTCTAGGATCACTCAATCTAAATGCGTCTGGAATGAGTGATCTAATGAAACTATCATAGATTCTTGGATTTACGTTGAAGTAACTTGATTTTTTGTTAAATAATGTGACAAATTCTGTACAATTTTTTATTAACAAAATTTCGTTCACAACGTTAAAGTTTTCTGAGATTCAGCGAATACTATTTCGTTCAATGTCTCAATTGAGTGATCCACATTTTGGCCAATATCTTCGATCGCCTGAGAGTGACAATTTTTTTGATTTCGGTTATGAGTTTTGACAATTTTACACTAAATGTACGTTTTGGTTTTATTGAAAACTAAAAAAGGATCACTCAATTCAGATGCACATTCCTAATTGACGCTTCGACTTTTCGCTAGATGAATTAACCATTATAAAAATAAATTGAAAAAAATATTGTAATATATTGTGGGTTACCTACGAAGAGATGGCGCTGCTTTGCTGCCTAAGGCTAGAGAAAATTCGACACGGCCGTCAGGGCCGAGGTAGCATAATGGTCAGTGCATTCACCCGGATAGCGAAGGGTGCGGGTTCGAGTCCCGTCTGCTGCCTGGTCCGCGTCGAGTTCTTTTTAGTTTCTTTTCACACAAACTTTTCTTTAGATTTAAAAATTTATTTCCAATTTATGGCAAAGAAAGACTGCTTTTTAATGACTAATTATTTTATTATCCTAAAACAAAATATCGATAGATAATAATCTTAATTAAAACGTATGCACACAATTCCCTTAAAATAAAAAAATGTGTTCTCTGTTCTGTTTAAATGCCAAAAAATTGCGCCACTTCAGTTCTTGTCACATAAAATCTACCGTACTTTAGACGGTAAGAGTAGTGTGAGTGCAGTCATTGCATCCGGGAACAAGGAATGATAATTGACAAGTGGAACGTAGGCCGCCGTGATCACCCGCCCGGCGAACCATCGTCCGTGTAAAGTGTTGACTGAAGCTACGGCGGTCGCTATTGTTGGACATTTGCAGTAAACGTTTCCTTGCGGTGAAGCTTTGTCGACGTACACGTGCAAAACACCACCGTGTTTATTGCATTCGCTAATCACGTCATCCCTTATTTCTATGTCCCAATTCGGATTGCTCTCACTGAAATAAATATTATGAATACTATTATGCAAAAGAATATTTAGTCTAGACTAGCTGTGCCCCGCGGTTTATTAGGGATATTTCACCGCAGTGAAACGTAGCCTATGTGTTAATCCAGGGTGTCAGCTAACTTCATATGAAATTTTATCAAAATCGCTCCAGCCGTTTAGACGTAAGGAAGTAACAAACACACACTCACAACTTTCGCCTTTATAATATTAGTGTGATTAATTTAAATATTTAAAATTTCCACATCCTCTCCTGAGCCTTACTTTAGATAAAAATAGCAGTTACTAGTGTACCAGATAGACAGTTCTGCCAGATAAAATTAAAAAATCCTAGAACCCCACTGCAGGCCCAGTCTTGAATCAAAACAATCATCAGTCAACCATTCATCTAAATCAGTTCAGCTGTTAAGAAGTTTAAATAGGACAAAGGTGTACTACACACAGGCACAAGAGATCATTTAAGTATTCTCAAAATATAACAGTACCCTTAGTACGAGTTTTACAATTACGAAAACTATGATTGTTTTCGTGATCTCGCATTAGTTGATTTTATTGTTTTCGTTTCAATACAAATAGTGTTTAAATTCTATCATTAAATCATTTGCGTCTTCTTAAATTTTAGTATATTTGGTTACTTTTCACCAAAATGGACATAGAAACAGAATTTACAATTACGAAAACTATGATAGTTTTCGTGAACGCAAAATCGTACTAAGGGTACTGAGGACTTTGTTTAATCTAGAAATAAGTTCTTTACTCACTTGGCAGGATCAAACATATTGTTGAGCATAAAACACTGTGTCGCTATAGGCGGTGCTACTTGAGGTTGTGGGTTCACCAACGCCGATCCTGCTCCCATCAACACTGACGCTGCAGCTGGTGGAATCTGTATATTATATAATAATCAATATTAAATATCTGTTCGGTGCTCATTTCGATAAAGTTAATTTCTATGGAGTCGCAATTAAATGATCCTCAAATTAATACTAATTACAGAGCAATGAAATACATACACAAAAAAATATTAAACCACCAGATACAAATACACAAAATATATCATGTGCAGTAACTATATATATATTTACAAATCACCAATTTAACAATCAAAAATCCGTTGTGGAAATACAATGGCACATCTTTGATTATTTACTCCTAGATAGAGCGTGACAGCGCAGATGTCGTTGAATAAAAATGAAACCAATGCTGGACTCTCTAAGTCGTTTCTTTGTTCAATGTAACGCTGAGCGATACGCACGACAATTACAGAGATTCGTGTTGAAATTACTGCTTCGAAATGCCGAGATGCGCGATAAAAGTTTGCCGAAATTTTAAAGGACGCATAAAAATAACGAAAGGCACTTACCATCGGTGATTAAATCATTATTCACCTTAAAAAAATATAACTATTATCATCATATTAGTTAAAAATTTTACGACTCCATCTTGACATTTTCAAAGTGATGTCAGTGTCTCATTACAAAATTCCCCAAAAAAGTAAGTATGACGTAATCAAAATATTTACTGATTGCAGCAGTGCGATGGAGAAAAGTTTTTTTTTATATCAATATACATTTCATTGTCTCAAAAACTGGACGGAATATCAAAAAATATAATTGATTTTTGAAGAACTTAAAAAGGAGTTTCTAAGTCTCATATATCTAAGATTGAATACTTTTACCGATGAAACGGGATGATTGAGAAATATACAACAGAGACTTACCCTTCAACGGCCAAGTCACACAACATTAACTATAATAATAAAGAAATCGCAGTAAGGAACCTTAGACTTGGCACGACTTTGTCTAGATTTAATTACTTTTTAGAGATAAAGCAGCTCCATCGAGACTTGGCTAGTTTTTTACAGAATGTTTTTGGTGGGATTTCACTTCTTTTTGTAGAAATGTGGGCATATTGATTTATTTTATTACATTTTCTTTATTATTCCTATTTGACATATTTTTTTCGTCTTTTTCATTTTTTCCGGTTCTGATTATTGAACATTAGCAAGTTTTTCGTATTGACCATTCGCATTCTTTATTTACTCTTTTAGACGGTTTAATTTCTGAAAGATCGGCGCGGTATTTACGCCTGGTTGTATTCGGTGATAGCTGAAGCTTGAGCTTTTATACTCTTGAAGTCAACATTTATGAGGCACCCCATGAAGATTGGTTACTCGTGAAAGCGCCACATAGGCATGGCCACAAGAGAATATGGAGGTGACAATGTCCATGAGGGTATTTTTTAGACCTTGGTATCACCGCCACTCTTAGTCCAATGCTTTATATTTTGATCAAATTTTGAGCGAAATTAATATTTAAGTGTAATATGTTTATTTAATTTGTGTAATGATCGAGTAGAATAAAGTTAATCGTTCGACTATTTTTTCTTGTAAACTCGCAAGTATAAGTATTATAGCCAGTCTAGTGCTATCCAGAGTTTTCCTTTAATTTTATTTATATGCGCATTAGAAGATGTAGAAGGGGAGGCATTCGCCCAGCAGTGGGACGCTATAGGCTAGATTTAATTAAAAGATGTGTACCACTATGCTGGATTTTTGCAATGACAGTCGTTTTTTTTGTGTACCAATAGTAGAAGGGGGCATTACCATATCTCTAATACAGCTGAGGGTTCTTCATCAGATACTTCAGACCTTCAATTTTTGACATCAAATGAAGCGGCCCACCAAGTTGAATATTTTTTGTAAATGCGGTATGCTGATCTGTTTTAATAGTTTGGTTGGACTCTTTTGTTTTTTCTAATCAGGCTCACGAGGTACTCCAGATCTTCGATTACCTTAGTTTTTATAGTTTTCCCTTTATGTGGCCATTTAACCCTAACTCTGTACCAAAATTTCAGCTCTCTGAGTTTATGGGAAGTACTAGTTCTAATCTGATGATCATGAGTGAGTGAGTGTCGTAAATGCGAAACTTTGCTTTCGTTTAACTTCGGAACTAAATGACCTACAGACTTGAAATTTTGGATTTTAAGTATGTTATTATAGCTTACTGGATGACGAAATTTCAGCGTTCTGGTCTTATCCAGAGGTTCTCAAATAGGGGCCTGAAAATGCGGCGAAATGGTTCCAGTAAAGGATGGTACGGCAGTGTTTGCTTCGCGCTCGTATTGGCGGGGGCACTGCCGTGCCGCCCGATAAAAATTTGTAGCTAATATTTTTTATTTCAAATATCCAAATAAAAACTTACATGTTTTACAGATGTTTCTACGTCTATGAATTTTAATTGTGTGAACAATATACTAATTTTGATTTGATTAAAGTTACCCACTTTTTTGGGGAATGTGGCCTAACCTGGTATCTGACACATACGCATCGAGACAAAAATAATGACATTTCCCGAGTATAAGATAGAGGAATCGCGTGTTTTGTTTTGCGTGTCACGCACACAAGTATATAAAACCTGGTCAGTTTTTGATGTGTAGCATCTTTCCTCTCACTTTCCTGCAATTTGTGGGAGTGATTTCGTGAAATGGGACGGAACTGTGTAACAGGAAGTCGCGAAAGCGCGCGCTATTTGATTTGATTTTAGAACATAATGTTCAAATGGCTTATTCCTTTTGTAGTAGGTTTGCTGCTTTTTTTACTAATATAATGTGAGGTTTCAAATGTTACACATCATACGCGACTACTGTAAGGCTCGTTTTATTATAGCAGTGTTTACAAAGCGACGCGACGCTCTATCTAGCTAGAGAGTAAATAATCAAAGTTGCCAATGTATGAAACCTTTACACTCAGTTGCAGATAGTTCAGTTATGATTGTTATTGTTATTCTCCATGAGGAGACTTGTTGCTGCTGAATCTCTAAAAAGGCAGCATTTCAAGTCTTTTGATCATGATTTAATTAATAAAAAAAGTTGATCAGATATCACGCAATTATCTTGCCATTTACTAAAATATTCCAAAAAAAAAATCACTTTCTACTAACCTGAAGTCCAGTTCCCTCAGCTAATTTGAACATAAGCTGTAACCTGCCAGTGGCACCCAGATCTACTCCAGCTCTATCTAGTTCATCTGCATCAAAGCGTGTACTAGAACTACCATCTGTTCGTTCGGTAACGTTGCCAACTTTCATTGGTCTCCCAGCTAACTCAAAGCCATTCAGTTGTTCCATAGCTTTTTTTGCATCAGCAGCATGATGAAACTGGTAATATAGATACATAATATAATTTTAACAGATATAAAAGGAAGAAGAAGAAACTTCTATTTTAAAAGTAAAAAACTTACTGTAAGGAAACCATATCCTTTACTTTTGCCTGTTTCCGGATCTGTCATAAGTTGTATGTGATCTATTTTCCCAAAAGGTTCAAAGATACCTCTTAACATATCTTCAGTAATATTGAAGTGTAAAGAACCAACATAGAGTCTCGTCGGCCCATTACTAGTTTTTGGAGCCAGATTAGGTAAAGTATTACCAACTCTATTTTTTTCAGCTTGTGTATGTTGAACAATAATAGGAACTCCTAACAACTTCTGCCCTGTCAAACCTAATGCCTGAAATTAAGAAATTTAATATTTAAACAATACTGTGACGTTTCTTGGTTTAAATATCTCAAGCATAAAAAAATATACAAACCAATGGTACAGACTCCGCATCCTTGAATTCGATGTAAGCTATTCCTTTGAATCTTCTAGTTTTGTTGCATGTGATAAGTCTAACATCCCTAACTTTACCGACAGAGGAAAAGAATTCTTCCAAGTCTTTAGCTCTAATGCGTTGTGATAACTGCATACAAAATACAGTACGCAAATCCCGCTCTTCAGGGGGCAGTTCCTCTAATTTACCTTCAACACCTCTCGACTTTGAGCGATATTCTTTGTCTTTTTCTTTTTCTTTACTTTTTTCTCTTTTATGAGTGTGCTTATCTCGGCTCCGCTCTCTTTCACGGCTACGATCTCTGTCTTTGCTACCTTTGTCACGTTGTTTTCTATCTCTGTCGCGCTCCCGCTCCTTGTCCTTATCGCGGTCTTTGTGGCTGCGATCCTTGTCCCTGTCTCTACGATCCTTGTCTCGCTCGCGGTCCCTGTCGCGATCACGGTCCTTGTCTCCTCGGTCACGATCTCTTTCTCTTTTATCATCTCTGTCCTTTGGACGTTGAGAATCTTTTTCGCGTGATCTCCTTCTCTCTCTTGATCGGCTTCGTCTACAAATAAATATACATTAAGCCACTACTTATAAACTATTCAGTGGTGGAAAACTTAATGAAGGACACCTTTGACTTTTTTTCTTACTAGCGGCCGCCCGCGACCTTGTTATTATTTTTAGTTTAGTTTTGTGGATCCCACAGGTTTTCCAGGATTAAAAGTATCCTGTCTCGATCCCGGCCATAAACTGTTTGCGTACTTAATTCAGATTCCAAATACGTTCAGTAGTTTTCGCGCGACTGAGTAACAAACATTCACATTAATTCTATTAGAAGATTAGGATGATTATTTGTGATAAATGTATTTGTATAAAAAACTGTCAGTGTGTCGGGCAACTCGGAATGTATGGTTCGTTGTTGTCCGCCTGTTCACAAGCTTAAGGTACCATTTAGGGCAAGTCCAAACAGCAGTAAAGTGGTGCTTTCAGGATAAGGTGTAAAAAACATGGTAATTTTTTAAAGAAAATCTATCAAATTCCACGCGGACCAGGCAGCAGACGGGACACGAACCCGCACCCTTCGCAATCCGGGCGAATGCACTGACCAATTATGCTACCGCGGCCCTCACGGACCGCGTCGAAATTCTTCTAGCCATTCTTAAGCTGCAAGGCAGCGCCATCTCTTCACATTATAGGCAACCCACAATGTCAAATGCATACTTTTACAAGTATTTAACATTTGAAAGAAAAAACAGCAATTATAGTTATAATTTTTATTATTTTAAAGCATGTAACTGCTTGATGTTTAAATCTAAAGAAAATATAACTAGAAAAAAATCCACGCGGACCCGTCATCGAACATCAAGCAGTTACATGCTTTAAAATAATAAAAATTATAAAAACTATCAACTTATTCTTGTTCAAGTAGAAACAAAAATGTAGAACAAATTCCATTGAAAGGTTCTTACATAACATTATATTATTCGTATTTGTCCTGTGGTTGTCCTATCATTAATAATTATTTCATTAATACAAGTCTTACTTAAAGTACAGGCAGTCCTTGTACATACGGCATGTTAGGTTCTCGAAATACGCGACGTTAATCGAAACGACGCAAGTAGAGACATATTTTTCATATGTTTTCATCCACACGGAATCAAAAAGTCATGTTCAGGTGGCAACGTTAGATTAAAATTAAAAGTATGTAACCGTGCCCTGCCAGCCCCACAGACATTGACCTCGCGACAAGTATTGACGTATGTTTGAGGAATAGCGTCAAAACATTGTTCGACGTAACTTGAAAGAACGTAAATCGAAACGACGTAAGTCGAGGACTGCCTGTACTTACTTTGGATGTTACAGCTAATGGATGCGAGTATAGGAAATATTTTTGTCTACTTATCTGTGTGAGCGCTTAAGGTGCTATCCGACGATCTGTGTTATCGCGGGCGAGGCCGCGCCGCGCAGGGTTTCCAAACGTATGAGAATTCTCATATATAGATAATGCTAAATATCGAACGTTAGAGTTCTCATACGTTTGGCAACATAGCGTGGCGCGTCCTCGCCCGCAACAACACAGATTGTGGGGCAGCACCTTTATATCGTGTCGTTGTTAAACCAATACCTATCTACTTGTGGACTTTTTGGGGATTTCGACGTTTACATCATTATGACTAATATACAAATCGATTTTTTAAATACAAAGAAGATGACAAAATTTATTCGGTATTCTTGAATATAGACATATTATGAAAGACGAGAAAAAATCTAAATAGTGCATTGCCCGACATTCACTTGGCCAGTTTTTATCTTGATATTCCGTGATAAATGTTATGATTGAAAAAAGGACTTGTACCACAAAATAGAAAGTACAGAAAGTAATCTACGTACAAGAGCGCTCAAGCAACGCATACAGACAGACACCACTCAAGGACACGATATCTCGGACCGCTTCGAACAAGTGCGAGGGCCAGTTCCACCCACTGGAGACACGCGTCTATGAACTATTTTGCACACAGGAGCAACAAAATAAAAGTTATTAATACGTGTTCAGTGGATGGTGGTTTAAATTCACCGTTACACAGCAAATTTAAACCATCATCAAGTTTCTTTTATTTGCACCTACTATAACAATACAAAATTAAAATTCTTTCGTTATTATTGGTTTATATTTCCATTTTTCCTGTTTCATTCTCAACAATAAATCGAACAATACGTAAGAGTGCCACTACTATGAAAGGTGGAGTACATAAATGAGATTACCTTCTGTACTATTTTGTGATTGTACTAAGTATGATTTATTATTAATTTCAGGATACCTTAACTAAGATTAATTTCACACAGGAAAAGTGTAAAACAAAAGGAATATTTTGATTCTCACCTTCTACTGCCATCGCGGTCTTTGTCTTTGTGCTTATCAGAATACTTGTCAGATCGATGCCTTGAAGAGGAAGTGTTATCCTGTCACACAAAGCACAAGGTAGAAGCAGCGCCAACAGCAACACACGCCGAGTGAATAAATAAAAAATGCATTAGTTTTTAATTTTAATATTATGATCATCTGTGATTATTCCATCATTGACTGGAGGGAATTGCCAGTGATGAAATAACACACATGTCAGGTTATTACTTTGCTTAAACTACTGATGATGGCCATCCTTTTGACAGCTTTGTCATAGTTGAAGATTGTCAGTCTTGAAGCCCTGGTCTACACTTACCGGTCAAAAAATCACTGACAAAGGACGCACACAGCGCTAACATCACACAGGGATACTTCTGCAAAAGATTTATGACCCATCAGCGCATGGTCTTTTGTTCTTAAATATGGTTTATTTATAAAGAATTGGTCACTATAGCGAACTTTTAATGTTTTTTTGGAAAAAATTGTAATCAAAACTTTTGAATATCAAGTTACAAAAAATTATAAATAAATGTAAGTATAGTATTGGATACCTCTCTCTTTTTGTTCAGGACGGTGAAGTATGCTGGACTATTACCACAAAGTTCTATAAATACAAGAAATGATTCTCAAATGTAATTTATTCTTATAATTTTTTACTTTGAACTGTTCAAAGATGAAATAAACAACTAAATCCATGCCACCTTATGGTTCATGTTTTTTACATCTTTGAACAGTTTGACTGAGAACTAATTATACAGTTTTCAGCATCACATTAAAATTATCATTGAGAGATGATTGGCATTAATAAAAAACAAATTTAAATCATAAAATATAAACACATTTCATGGTTTAAATAATAAAATACCACAATAATAATATGGTTATTTCTAAAATTTTAGTAAAACTACAAAAATTTCACGTAAGCTTTTCTTTATATTGCTTCATTTAAAATTAATGAACCACTACTAATAAATAGTAACAATAATATATGTCATTAGATAATTGTAGAACTGTTGATTAAAATACATCAAGCTAGATTGTTATCTGCCATGTTTTGTATTTATACTTAAATTGATAATGAGAAATAGCTGTTATATTAATTTAACTGAAAATTATGCCAGAATAAGCCCAAAAGCAAACTAACTACTCATAATTTTAGTTTGCCTTTGGGCAATTCGAACACAGAAAGGTGAACAATGGTGCAAGTTATAATTGTTTGACTGTGTACTGATTATTCATTGCTCCTTGTGTATATTTGTACAGAAACTACAGACTTTGAACTCAAACAAAAAAATCTACCCAAATATTATTTTTCAAATATATAGTTGATATAATTTATTTATCCTTTTTTTTGCATTTTTTATCATTTTATTGAATTTATTGTACTTTCGTTAGTATTCTTTGTATTATGTATGAGTTTCTAGCATTTGTAACAAATTCAATTTCATATTTAAATAAACTACCATAATGCAATTTTACTATTCTAGATGATGTTCTCCATTGAGTGGACAGTGAGCAAAGCAGAAAGTACAACAATCTATAGATATTTATTTAATTAAATTAAAAGAAATGTACATGAAACATATACTTTTATATTTAATACGGAAAAAATATTCTTAATGACAGGTATAACTGTCATCATAAGAATACATACACATCTAACTAGCAATTTTAAGTTCTGACAAAGGACTGTGATGGCTAGTTAAGCAGATACATGATACCTCAATGATTATTTACTAACTATATATTCTTACAATTATCCACTGACATAATATACCTCACTATCAATGGCATTATGACCTATAAGTACTTATGCTATACAGACAAAAGCTTGTTCTACTACCATCTGTAGTTTATTCTAATTCAATGATATTAAATACCATAAATACAATAACACAAACAAAATCATGGCCGAAACCTGTACAAAAGGTACATTGGACGATTCACAGAGCTTCATAAGATAATCACATTGTTAAACACAATATAAGGCATTATTTAAACATTGAAAGTCACCTTTAACCCATATCACAAATGAGGAGCTTAGGAACAAAAAGTGTCATTTACAGTTTTTAACTTTTATAGTAAATTGAGAAAATAAATATTTAAGTTTATCTAAGCAATTTTTATTAACCATTTATGTGCCGATTATTGTATAAAATTTAATGTATTATAAGATTATCTTGCTGGTTTTGAAATTTGGAATAAAAAAATATATCAAATGACACCCTTTGATCCTACAGCTTGTTAATGTTCCTATTTGATTCAATAATTTAGTAAAATGTCACCTTTTAAAATTCTACCTTATAAAACATTCAGTATGAAAATAAAAATAGATTCACACAAAACATTTTTATTTCTTATACATATTATTCTCCAGAATCTGGTTCCTAGTTTGAACCGACTAAAGACTTTTCAAACATATTTCTTAAGAGTATGTCACTTTTTGAATTCAAGTATTAATGATCACTGTGATTGAATAAAAATGTAACTTTTTGTTCTGGAAGCAGCAGTTCACATCATTTTTTTTTATGAAACTACTGACGTTTTCAGCAAAATCTTGGGGAGTTACAGATAGAATTCAACATTTTGAGCCGATTAAAATAAAAAAAAACCGAATTGAGCAAAATACGTAAATGACACTTTTTGTTCCTAAGCTTCTCAGATATTTTCTAATATACCAGTTTATAGTATTAGAACAAAATTTGCTTCAATGCATGAAATTAACAAAGATTGATTAGATACCTGTCGAAAAAACGACACTATGTACTACAAGTATTTTTTTAGCATTTTTTCACAGAGCTCTGCAGCAGCTTGACTTTTCAACGGTCAGCACATTACTGTGAACCAAGAAGTGCTCGAGTGGTGTTTAAGCACTTCTTGATTGCGACACATTTTTAACTTACGTGGTGTATCTAGGGTATATAATATCATTGTTCTGTTTACATACAATAATTGCTGGTGTATTGACAATGCCTTACTTTGAAATAAGACAATAGCATCGTATACAAAAAAATATGCCAACACAAGCCTGTTGTTGTACACAACTCGATGTTAACTAAGTACTATAGGTCAGTATACCATAAAGCAGGGGTGCTCAAAGTTTAATTAACCGTTTAACCATTATAAATGCAACAGTACACCCTACCTAGGTAGGTGGGATGTATCGTGTATGTAGGACAACCCTGCATCATACATACTTGCAGCCTCTCAAAGTTGATCTTAAGTAGTCTTAAAAATTTTGAGGTAGATCACCAGCAGTTCAAGTTTGAGCACCCCTGCCATAAAGCATGTGTATGTTATGCTGCCCATGTATACAATACCTAATGTGATAAAAAATATATTAAGGTTTAGAATACAGTTTTTATGCAGTGCATACAAGTAAAATGGGATGACTCCCCTGTAAAGGGGTCATTGTTTTATTAAAAGAACTTACCGATTTATTATATGGTGCTTCTAGCATAGCCTCTACATCAAAATCTTCTGCCATCCTTAAACAAGACGCAAAAATGATAATAATGCACACAATGTAAACACAAATGATATTCACTAGAAAAAATTAAGTAGGACATATTATTTCATACATTGGAACAAGATCCGATGATATATTGTTTAATATAAGTTATTTACTTCTATTACTATAATTTATATATAGTAAGTAACTAATAAGTAATATACTTAGTAAATAACTTATATAACTATAATTCATCAAATGATTGAAGAGACTTCTTTAAAATTTATGGAGATCATTAAACCCTTAAAACCATTTTACCAATTAGGTTGGCTTTACCAAAATGTATACCTATACAAAATTGCATCTTTCTATAACTAAGAGCCACTGTGAAAGGCTGTGGTGTTTCACTATTTGCACAGGAAAACTATAAGACTTCCTTGTTGCCTCTGAACCCTAAAAACTATTAAGACTATAGTCCCTAAAACAATCAAATATCTGCATGGTATTTATGTACCTAAAGAAAGAAGTTTCTATAAAAAAAATAATGTAAATACATAATAATTCCTATTTAGTTGACAAAATTCTGGACCAAGTAAATTGCCCAGAAATTGGTTTCCACTAATTCTTATCCCTAATTTTTTGTTGAACAGATTCACTGTAAGATGTGAAATGGATTTAATACAGAGCTATGCCTATTTTAACACCATAAATACAGTTTAATAGGTACACCTAAATCGTACTCAATACGTTGTTGTAATGGTATTAAATGATGAATTGCATCATTATATAGCAATACTAACAAATAATTGGGTATTTAGATTTTTCGTTGATAACTAAGCAAGAAATGACATTTATAACATTTTTACCTTCGCGTCGGAGTTATCATATCATATCAGGTTTGATTGATTTTGGTTTGAACAAAATGGCGTCCAAAAGCTTGCAAAATGTGCATGCCACATTTTGTATAAAACAAAACACACAAATTATTTTACACATTTAGAAGAAAACATATTCTTACCTCGTTATAGCTTCCAGCAGTCGTCTGAAATTCACACAATTCTTTATTTCTGAAGTTGATTCTCTCAATTTCTCTCAAAGAGTGAACATGAAGGGACCAAAGAGAATTAACCTTTTTCTTAATTCTCGCTTATTTTTTTTTTTCCTTTATAGCCTGCACGGTTTGTGCGTCAGCCACATACAAATGTAAAGGTAGGGAAACAGGATAAAAAAAGGAACGGAATTTTTTAGGAAAGGGTCAGGTAAGTATTTACATATTTACAGTTTAATATTATGTTTAAGGATAAAATTTGAAATACATAAATAAATATCATAATTCTCGCTAATGTGAATTAATTAATGATTGTCTGTCTTCATTTATTGGAGGGCTAAAGGTACTTAATTCATACAGCCCTTTTGGTATTTTTTAACATTGGAAATCAAACAACAAAGCTCGCCGGTAAGTAAACATCTAGAAATAAATAAATTCTACTCCCGTGATCATCATTTCTGTTTATATCTATAATAACATGTTATTTAATGCGTTGTTTACTTGTGTTGAGGTTATATAATTTACAAGCAACTTACACTACGCCCTACAGATTTGATACTATTGTAATAAATAAAATGTGAACATGGTTTTTATCATCTAACATGTTTTTGGTTCAGATGTTTCCATAACTACAATTCGACGCATGGTGGAGGAAATTTTAATAAAGGAGATAAAAAACACAGAAGTATGTACATATTGGTATCGATTCTGACATGATTCTCTAAACTTAAAACTAAATTTAACGTCAGTCTCTCCTTTTCATTCAGTATAGGGAATCACAAGGATACACTATTGTCTAATTTAAGTTTAGATACCATTATGTTCCATTATTTCGACATATTAGCAGTGGTGAGAGAAAATATAAAGGACAATGTTAAAATTGGCCTAAGAACCAACACCAATTTGGCATATATGATAATCTTAGTATATTTTTTGCTATAATTATCAGTATATAGATTGTGACGGACACTTCCAGATAAGTAAGCTAAATTAAAAAGTTAATAAATAATCTGAGACAATAAATAGGTACCATTTTATGTGTATAATCTATGGCAGCACTGCAAACAAAACACTCATTCTTCCTAATGCCGGCATTTCACTTAGCTATTCGTATTTGCTATTTTAAAACATGACATCAGTCTGTCCTTTTCATTCCTTATTAAGCATGACAAGGACAAACTTTTGTCAAAAGAAGGGCCGGCATAAAACTTGTTACTCTGTGGTTGTGGTGCATGCATGCAGTTTCATAGTAATCTGTGGCATTCGTGCCGTGCATTCCAAAGAGTAGTTTATTATACCGGAAAGTGCATTCTCGTTTCGGATAACCTGTTGTGTGTGTTTATTTGCGATTGTTTTTCCTATAATTTAACTGTTTCGGCTATCTAATATGCCATCGATGTCACCAAAGAGCAGAGCCCTTATTACCAAGTGCTAGTGAACCTGTGCCACAACATCCTGAGAGGATCATACTGCCAAATTATTCAAGAACACCTAATACACATTCACGCTGCATATTTACATAATATACATGAGATATACAAATAAATACAATAAACAATATGATACAATTATGTGAAAAATAGTCAATAAATACGAAGCAAAACTACAGTTTTTATTTTGTTCATGATTCCTACCTAACCAAGTTTTTCCTAATAGTTATTCCTTAAAATGGTACCGAATAAAATGAATTAGTTATAATATCAATTCACTTCATACTGAGTTCATACTAAATTCATTGGTTGACCTATGTTTCATTGAAAATTAAAAATAACCTCAAAAAAATTTTAGTTTTCCTAATAATTTAAGTTCTCAGAAGTGTCCGTCAATAATCTTTGTTTTTACAGTCATTTACTTACGATTTTGAACCTAGAAAATAATATTTCATGATTGCTGGTTCTTAGGCTAACTATGTATGGACGCTGAACAATGTCCTTTTGGTGGCTATGAATGGCAGATTTTCCACCATTGGTAAATTTAACATCAGTCTCTCCTTTTCATTTTGTATAAATAATGACAAGGATACACTATTGTCAAAATTAGGTTTAGGTTTAGAGAATCTTACCGGAATCGGCATCACTTGTTATCATAAAGGACAATGGCGAAATATTTGTTGAAGTAAATCTTTAGCGTCTATAGATGTCATTATCAGAAATGTTAATAAAATAATCTCAAAAAACGAACCGGTTTCAAGGACCGTTTTGTGTTCCGCGACGATAGAACCGTTTTACGTTTCGGATCAAAACAGTCTTCGTCGAACAACTAGTCCTCGGATTGTCTGCAAGCCAATATGTTCTTTATAATTAAGCAAATACAGTCTATAATAGAACGCAATGCTAAGAGGCCGTTTCGTTCTATGATAATTAAGCTTTGATTTTACAATAATATAATCTTTATTATTGAACATTTAAAGTCGATTATCGTATAACACTACATTTATTTCGATGTTTCGTCGTCTCGTTCGCAGCAACGAAACGAACGTTAACAAGATTTCATTTAGTTCAGTTTCGTTGCGTTACATTCGTTCGACCGTCGCGTGTCGTTTCGTTGCGTCACCCAGCCGCAACCAAAACCAGTTGCGAACGAGAACCGTTTCGAGGACTAGTTTTCGTTGAAGAGAAAACGGTTGCGTTTCGTCGTCAGAAAATTTGAGAACGACCCACCGCTAAAAGATTTATAAAACAATTCAGGAAGGTTATCTAAGGGTACGACCAGAGTGCACTCAGATTCAGAAAACAAGCTCGAGAAATAAACAGTGTAGTTAAAGTAGGGTCGGCCGTACCCATAGGGTGCGGCCAGAGTGCACTCAGATTCAGATTCAGATTTCGAAAACAAGCGCGAGAAATAAACAGTGTAGTCGAAGGGTACGGCCAGATTGCACTCCTGATTTAGATTCAGATTCAGACTCAGAAAACAAAGCGCGAGAAAAAGCAGGCAACCTGCTTAGATTACACTGTTTATTTCTCGCGCTTGTTTTCGGAATCTGAATCTGAATCTGAGTGCACTCTGGCCGCACCCTATGGGTCTGGAATTAAAAACTTAAAAAAAGGAAAGACAATAGACTATTTATTTTTTATTTATATAGTGGCTTGGCTTCATGGCTTTTGAGCCATTTATTTTAAGTGATTTTAGTGATGAAATCAATTTTAAATATGTTGTTCGTATGATTTGCATCGCTTTACGCTTAAAATGTATTTAATTATCTATCAAAAATATCGGGAAACATTATTTTTCAATATTATACGGAAATTATAATAAATAATCTCCACAATACAAAAAGAGTATGGCGCCAATTCTAACGCAAAAAACTATAACTGTCACTGTCATGCTTGTCATTGAAAGAGGGCTACCGTTTTCTACCTCACCAGATGGCGCCACTGTTGAGTGAGGTCCTAAATTGTAACTTTTAAAGTTTATTAATACGCACATGAAATCAAAGGTTACATTTAGATCGTATTATAACACAAAAGAACTATATCTTTAACATAATAGGCCATGCCACAGTGACGCGCAGTTCCGTTTTATTCGGAAAAAATGGGAACGTAATCATTTTTCTAAGCTCAATTTTTTAATAACTGACATTCATTGCCACATTGCTCATATTTGCCGTAATTAAGCCGAATTGTTACCAATTATTCACAACATTATTTTAATTAGAAATAAACCCGCGTAGTCAACCAACAAGCAATAACATTTGACATTTCGGAGACCTCACGCTACACTAGCGCCTCTAGCGGCGGATTCATACGCGATAGCCCTCATTGTTGTTATTGTTCCTTTGGTATACTTACTTTACTCTTTGTTATTGTTAACAATAACGTTGCTTGTGCTTAAGTGCATGCATATTGCAACGATTTAAATCGGCGCATTGAGTTTTTTTTCTGAGATTTGTGTTTTTATGTGACTTGACTGCATTTGAACTCTCGAAATCTTCCCCGCGACTGTTGAGTAGTGCTTGCCTAAGACTTCCGAATCTGATATTTCGGACGACTTCTTGCTGTGGATTTTGGACACGATTCTGTCTCATACTGTGGATTTTATTTCATTGTATCTACTATCTACGATATTGTGATCAAAGATATGTAATAAAAAATATATAAAAAAGTGTTTCATATTTAATTAATATCCGATCAGTACACTATTAGAAATCCTTTTTTATACTTTATTAATGCTGTGGACATTTTCAAATTGTTAAGTACTTCTTACAGCACAGACATTGTATTCGAACTAAATAACCCTGGTCTGTTTAGTATTATTAAGTATTTTGACGCGGTTGGTCCTAGTACCTACGCCCACTGATCATACATTATATATAAAACATTTTTTTTCGTCACTAATCTACGGGACCGGTATACTTCTATAGTTCCGTTCCACGTATTTTTTTATTTTGATATAAAAATACTCTTGAAAATACGTTTATAATTCGTATTACTTGGTATGACATAACCTCCAAAACTTCAAAGTAGAATATCTATTAATCCAGACTTCCTATAATAAAAGGAATAAGACGAATCAAATCGAGAATCTAAACTCTATAATTTAACATGCAATTCATTCATAGACGCAAGAAAAAATTTCAACAATTTGTTTGGGACTTCGCCATTGCTCTTTAAGTTTTAGAATATTATGCCAGAATATATAATATATTAATTATGCATCTTTTATCTGTGTAATACATATTTACGAGTTGATGTCAAATGGAAAAAAAATATGATTTTCATATCGATAACCCACAGCACGAGCTTCAAATATGTGTCAAATGCAACTCAAATGTATGAAACCGTTGTGCTTCTGGCGCGCCACGATACGCTAATGGTGTCGATTCTGGCAGGATTTTCTAAACTTAAAACTAAATTTAACATCAGTCTGTCCTTTTAACTCTGTATAGAGAATTACTAAGACACACTGTTATCAAATTTAAGTTTAGGTTTAGAGAATCATACCGGAATCGACACCAATATGTTTCTGCCTCCACTCACGCTTATCCCTGACCTTAAAGCATATACTCCAATGTCTAAGCTCTAAGTCCCTGGCTCACTGTAGTGTCGTTTAAAGATGATTCTAATTAAGAAATCGAAAAAAAGCGTAAAAATAGAAAAAAAAGGTAAATTTTAATGATTGATTAAACCTAATCTACAGTTTGTCTATAAAGTCGTGACATTAAATGATGGCGCCACTAGTATGCATGTAGCAACACTATACAGTCGGACCAAAATGATTTTGATACTAGCAGTTCATTCAAGTAAAATAGGTAATTAATAAGACACACTATACAGTCGTATTTTGTTTCTGTTTTATATATAGTAGGTATTATTATTAGGTAGGCTTATAAAATTATTATAGATAAAATAGTACTTTATAGTGTAAAAGTGTGTAATGTTGGTGATTACCGCCGAGGTGCCATTGAGACCAGAGCCATTAGGGAATCATCAATACACACAAGTATCATCATACGACGTTTTTTAACACACTTGTTAAGAAAATAATACTAAAAATCATTTTATAGTATATAAAAAGTTTATTTAGAGAAACAATTTGTTAATGTGCAGTTAGTAAAATTAGTGATAGGTATCTTCACTAAAAGCATCTGGCCATGGTTCTTTAAGTGACCATTTCTTTCTTTGGTCGGCCTTGCCTGTTTTCCCAGGAGTTTCAAACTTTCCATCATTCTTAAAACCTTCGTTGACTATCAGACTCTCTGATTTTCCTGAAAAAAAAGTAAAAAAATATGTAACAGATTAGTTTTACACTATCGCTAGATCCAAGCTCTCGTGAGCCAAAGGTCCTGCGCTTGGAGATCTGGGGTTCCTGTGATTTTTAAGTTTAATAACTGTTACACTAATAAAATTTTAGTTAAGAATATATAATAAAAAAGCCAACCTTTGGAGTTTTAGGCGGGATTTCATAGAGTGCGGTTAGCGTCATATTTTAATTATACTTTAATTCGTTCATAGTGAATATTGTGAAATAAAATTGGTGTAATTTTGTGTTTCAACCGTCTGCACGACTGAAGAATTATTGGAATCTTTAAATTATATATTAACCTAAGTAACCATATTAAGTTAAGTAAAAAAAATACCCTTGGATATGCATTTTATTTTACACGACGTACCTTTTGTTGTGAAGTACAAATCCTCTCTCTGAAAATGAGATGAACAAACCACGCTGCGGGAAGCTGGTTGCCACAATGGTTCATTTCTACTCTTACGAATGACTGCAATCCACTTCTCTTTTAGATTTTGATCTCGATTAGGAAATCGTAAAAGAAATGTATAATATATAATGTGTATTACATCCCAAGAAATTTATACGAATATATAAAGAAAAAAGATAATAAAGATGTTCCGTGTAATTGTTTATCCATGCATTACAATATTCGATTAATATAAAAGTATGCTACACAATGTATTTAATAAAATAACGTTATGTTATTTATAATTTTTATAGCATGTAACTGCTTGATGTTTAAATCTAAAGAAAATATAACTAGAAAAAAATCCACGCGGACCAGGCAGCAGACGGGACTCGAACCCGCACCCTTCGCAAACCGGGCGAATGCACTGACCAATTATGCTACCGCGGCCCTCACGGACCGCGTTGAAATTCTTCTAGCCATTCTTAAGCGCCATCTCTTCGCATTATGGGTAACCCACAATGTCAAATGAATACTTTTACAAGTATTAAACAAATTTCTAGTTATACTTTCTATAGATTTAAACATCAAGCAGTTACATGCTTTAAAAATAATAAAAATTATAACGTTACGTTATATTTCACGCTACCCAACAAAAGGGTAAAACTGTAACGTATAATCATGGCAGCATATCGTTCAGGTTTTGTTTACAAAGCGACAACCTCAAATTTGATTTTGATTAATTGAAAATATTAGTTTATAAATTTACTTACGTATGAAATGTTATTCATTTTCTCTAATAAATATTGTTTTTTGAAGTTATACTTCTTTAGGCGCGTTATGAAAAAATGATGAGAGTGAAATTTTTAAATGCGCGCGCATCACTGTAACCCAAAAGTAACAGCATGAAGTTGGCCGCGGGCGCGTTATGAAAAAATCATGTGAGTGAAATTTCGAGATGCGCGCGCATCACTGTAACACAATAGTAACACCATGAAGTTGGCCGCGGGCGCGTTATGAATGTTAGTGTCTAATAATGGTGGATTATTAACCACTTAGTGGTTAATAATCCATCATTATTAGACATCTGTTCGAAAGGTACTTTGAACGATCCACGGAGCTCCATAATGTGATCGCGTTGTCAAACACAATGTTGGCACGCTCGTCGCCTCTCATCACTGTTTTCATATTTATAATATTTATCCACATGTTTCTAGTTTCTGTATAGACACAACGTGTTTTAGTTACTTACAAGTGCTAATTACATATGGACTAATAACTTAAATTCAGTAGTGATTTTAATTGAATATTTTGAATATTTATTTAATTTTTCAAATTAAAACTGAACTTAATTGACTGTGTTAACTATCCTTTTGCAGTCCTTTTATTATATTATTGTAATTATTAATTATTTGCATGCAATTAAAAAATATTTTTAATGATGCTAAAGAAGTATAACTTCTCACGCGGGTACATAAGTTACACGCATCCATTTTTTATTATTACGTCAAACTCCGCTCGCCGGGATAGCTCGAATGGGAAGCCAAGGCGTAGTTTCGTTGCATGTGTGTGCGTGTAACTGTGTATGTACACGGCGAGGCGTAGTTTTATCGGCTTCAATTTTTTGTTCGGCAGACTCCGTCTTTACTTTTTTTTGGTCTGAGTGTTCGCCCATAAACATCGTCCAAATCCCACAAAATTCGTCCAGCTTGGTAGTCTTCGAAACATAGCTGGAAAACTTTAAAAATCACTTCCCACGTGCCACTCCGATTGACTTTACTCATTTTTATACCTTTCTGCGTAGTTTCGTCATAATTTATTACAGTTTAATCCTAACAATAAAAAATACAAAAGGAAAACTGTTCCACAACTGAAACTCGATGACAGCTGATGTACATAAGTTTGGTGTTGCCAGACACATGAATAATGTTAGTTCCTCAAACATTCATGTCACGACTTTATAGACAAACTGTAATAAAAATCATGTGATGAAAATTGATTTTTTAAGATAAATAGTAGTGTCTATTCTGACATAATTCTTTAGACCTTTAAATTTGACAACGGTGTATCCTTGTCATTCTCTATACAGAATAAAAAAGAGTGACCTATGTTAAATTTAGTTTAAAGTTTAGAAAATCATGCCAGATTGGATATCAGTAGATTTTTTAAAATTAATTATTATTTCCCACAGATTACTAAGATTATGCCTAAAGAATTATTTCCATCCCTATGGTTCATGGAATGAACCGCTTACGTAAGATTCCGGGAACATTTACACAGAATTAAATTAGAAGAGCAAAATGATTGTCGATATTGCAATCCGAAGGCGTTGAAATTTTACAGCTCCTTATCTTAGAATGTCAATATCTTCTATGTACAGAGAATCTTATTGATAGATGGCTTAATAGAGATATACAATAACTGCAGAATACCCAACTAATTGCCATCTATCATACAAAATACTAATATATATCATATGTTATTTGAATATATAATGAATACTTTCGAAGATATATAAACTGATGAAATGAACTACTATTATAATGAACGAAAATGAATGGCCGAAATGAAAAAATCCACGGCCGTAAATTTTTTTTTTAAAAAAAAAGGAAGGAATTTGGATTCGAGAGTTTTCGGTTGGCGTCATATTTTGTTCATAGTGGATATTGTGAAATAAAATTGATGTGATTTTGTTTTACCACCGTCTGCGCAACTGAAGAATTAGTGGAAACTTTAAAATAAACGCTATTCCGGTCAAGTGGACGTCAGAATTTTATTGTAGTATTGACTACCTCACAGAAGCTTATCGAAAAAGCCAGCCCAATACATTTCGTGCCAAACACTTCAAGAAACATTAGAATGCGTCACAGCGACATTCTAATGTAAAAAAGAATAATTTAACTTAAGACTAGGCTGTATGGGCATTGTTCCCTTTGCCTTCCCTGAAAAGAGAGAATTTAACAAAAAAAAAAATAGGTATTTGGATTGATGGATTCGTTTCCTTCTCTGTGTTTTGTTTTGTTTTTAATTTTCATGTTGTATGTGTGACAGACAGCTTTTGATAAAGAAACAAATAGACGTGAATTTTCGTATGTGTAAACAGTTATTACAGCAGAACAAACTGAATCCTGTTTTCAACATAACCAACTACATCATAGAGATATGACGACTGCTGCTAGACCCACGTTTGATCCTGCAAGAGGAGGTCAGGGACGGGGAGAAAAAGATTTGAGTGCGATATCTCGTCAGTACTCTAGTAGGGATCTTCCAGGACACACTAAATTGAAATATAGGTATGTGAAATAATGATGCTCCCCCCTTCTTTTATTATAGAGATCTTTTTAGCAAGATCCTGTGACACAATAATGCTTAGACATCTTTGCTTAGAATAACTGAAATGGCATACAAATTAAAAGCAAAATGTAAAGCATCATCATTTTTTTTAATTAAATTTAAAAGATGCTAATGCTACAACATAAAATATGATTGCAGTTAGGTGGTCAGTGGTATTGATATTCTGTGCATTTTGTTTTTTTGTAGACCATTGAAATAATCCTCAAATTTAAGTTCAATTTGAATTTTTCAGAGAACAAGGTCAGGGCACAACTGAGGAATTACGGTCTCGTGATTTCCGCAAGGAATTAGACGACAGAGAAAAAGATACAAAAGTTATAAATGTTAGAAGACAAAATGAGCCTGTTGTTAAACGAGCTAAAATCGATCAAGTACCAGCAGCTAGTTTGGATGCTGACGATCCATTGGAAGGAGATTCCTCAGATTCTGATGACTCTGATGATGATACTGCTGCATTGCTGGCAGAGTTGAACAAAATTAAGAAAGAAAGGGCATTAGAGCAGGCTAAAAAGGTAAAATTAATAAACTAAAGTTACACTATGCCCTTTATCATAAACAATGCAACTAAATGTTACTAGACTGGATATTTGGCATATTTTTATATTCATAATCATCTGAGTATTTTCTTCCAACCTGGTACCTTTGATAATATTTTATTTTTTCGTGAATACATTCTGCTGTACAGTGGGATAACAGACTAAGGTAGATGTGAAAAAAAAATATTTCCATTTCACATGTATAGGTTTACATCTTGTACACCATAAACACCAAAAAATCTATATGTCCCAGTTTTGTATAAATATTTGCAAGCAATCATATGATAGATCACTGAAATATCATCATCATCATCATCAGGCTATTAATGTCCCCACTGCTGGGGCACAGGCCTACGCTATGGATGAAATAGGGAGATGACCCACCACATAGGCCCAGTGAGGATTGGTGGGTGCTAATGATTACATTTGCAGCTGGGACCAATGGCTTAACATGCCTCCCGATGCACTGAGGAGCTTGTGATAATAAATTTTTAGTCACTTTGTCACAATGACCAACCACTGCGAAAGTTGCTTAACTTCAATGATTGCAGCCGAATGCGCTAACCACTGGCACCATCAATCCCTTAAATATACTATACTACATTGTCCTATCTATTTAATATTCTACCAAGAATAATTGACAGTTGACTTATTATAATGTACCTTTTACATTAATTCATTTCTGATTTTTAAAGGAAGCTGAGAGAAAACAAGAGGAGGAAAGAATTAGAATGGAGAATATTTTGTCAGGAAATCCATTGCTAAACTACTCAGCTACAGGGCAGAAAAATGATTTGAAGGTAAGTTATAAAGGTCAAAAAAGGTCTACACAAGTGTAGTTGTCTGTGGTGTTGCTCAAGAAGTTTTCTGCTACCTTCCTATTATTCATTACTAAAATGTTATAATTTATTTATTGATAGTGTACTATGCCCATGTAAAAAGAAAGCATTTCTGATAGACTGTATAATTGAGAGGGTGGATGGGAATTGGGGAAGGAGTAGTCCCACATAACCCTGTCTCACCTAAGAGCAAAGTATGCATTTAAAATTTTCCCAATAATAATAAAAGAAAAGGTTGTATCATTTTATTTATTTATACTTAATGCACAAGTGTACAAAGGTGGACTTAATGCCATAGGCATTCTCTACCAGTCAACCATACGGTGTTGTGGATAAATAGTGGAATCATTGCTCTCATATTGACAAAGGGGCCTTATTTTTAGTGAGTTTGTTAATGTTATGAATGTTACTTTCAGTGTTTATATTGAATGTCATTTTTTACAGGTGAAACGTCGATGGGATGATGATGTAGTTTTCAAGAATTGTGCTCGATCAGAACCTGAAAGAAAACCTAACACTTTTATTAATGATTCTTTACGTTCTGAATTTCATAAGAAGTTTATGGAAAAATATGTAAAATAAATTAATGTAAGTTGTAAGTGAAATTAAAAATATTTGTGGGTTGCCTATAATTAAAAATATTTGTTAAAATGATCATTTATTTCAGTTTTGTGTCCATCAGATTAAATACATTATTAGAAAGTTTTCATTCTGATTAAATTTTAAAACTTCTGTTATTTTGTAATGGTGCAAATATATAAATTTACTTCATTGTTTTCAGATCATAATAATTGTGTTCAACCTATTGTAAATCCCAAGATTTACTAACATAATCTAGTAAAAGTTTAAAGCAGAAGTAATTTAGAAATCTGCCTTTATCATTAAGGAGCACCATATCTAAAATTGTTAGATATTTATAAATCTAATCAAAACATTTATAGGTACTCTTTTTAAATCCGAAACTATACTTCGATATGTTTTGTAACATCGAATGAACCTACTGTGAAACAAAATGTTAAATATTACAGCTCTGCATTAGAATGCGAAAATGCCCACTATATAAATATGCCACTAAGATGAAAAATCTTTAATATGAAATTGAGGAAATCGTTTGAAATACATTATGAAATAAGGCTATTTCATAATGTATGACGTCATTTTACACCCCATGGCCATCCAACACAACTGCACAGTTTTGTAAATCTTGGTCTGTGGTTCAGCCATAACACCCTTGACTTTACCACTGTAAATTCATCAAAATTTTAATGGTTTTAAAGTTCTTACGTTAACATACTCATGTTTTGAATTTCTGAGATAAACCAATCTATGGGTTCATGCAGAAATAAAATTTATACATCACTGCGAAAAAAGGAGAGTATAATGTTTTATAATGCGATTCAACTAAGAATAGGATCGACTGGGTGCCATTTTGTGATGTCAAAGCTGTCAATTGAAACAAAATAGGTAGAGTGAGCAATAAAAGTTTTTTCATCCCACCACCTCGGAAAGTGTAATTTTGCGCTTCGAAATCTGGCTGGAAAATTCTATTTTATTCGCTTGAGCGGCAAAGTAGATTTGAATTTAGAACATCACATATAATGAGTACTCAATATAATTGTAAATTCAAAACGTCATTAAACCTATTTAATGTAACCTCTATGGTGCCAAATTTATGATTAGAACTTTTTAAATTGTGAAAAAATTTAAATTTGGAACCTTCTTGGTTTCTTTGTTTTATTTGCGTGCTTCGCGCCATTCTAGTTTTTCACGTTTTATTGCTTAATATAATTAACATAACCTAAAAACTGTACAAAAAAATCAACTAAAATGAGTGACATTAGCGACGATGAAGTTTATCTAACGCCAACTGAGTTAACTGAAACAGTTAATAATGCGCAAATGAGCCTTCTCCCTCAGCAATCACGAGAGAAGTATTTGAAACAGTACGATATATTTAACATGTGGCGACTAGCTAAAGGAGCAAAAACTTTCTCCGAAAACGTTTTGCTGGCATATTTTATAGAATTATCTGAGACCAAGAAAGCAAGCACGCTATGGAGTACGTATTCAATGCTAAAATTAACAATTAAGATGAAGAAAGACGTTCATATCGACACCTATCATAAATTAGTGGCATTTTTAAAAAGAGCCTCATCTGGTTATAAACCAAAAAAATCGAAGGTTTTCACAGCATCTGAAATTGCAAAGTTTATTAATGAAGCACCTGATTCCGTATATTTAGCGGCAAAAGTAAGTCAATACGTGTAATTTTTTGTTGTTGATAAAATTGTACATAGTACTTACAATATTTTTAATTTGATTAATTTATTTACGATTATAAATACTTCTTTTGTTACAGGTTGTTCTTATTATTGGTATAACCGGAGCATGTCGAACAAATGAACTTACACTACTTAATGTCAATAACGTATCAAAATATTCTCATAATTCTGATGAATTGCTATTAATTAATGTACTAAATACCAAGACAAAAAAAGACCGCAACTTCGTTATTCGCAAGGAATATGTAAACATTGTTCAGAAATATCAAGCTTTACGTCCTTCTAACACCCCAATTGAACGATTTTTTCTACAATATCGCAACGGAAAGTGTATCCGACAACCTATGGGTCAGAATAAAATTGGCAGTATTCCACGAGAAATAGCAACTTTTCTCGGACTTTTAGAACCCCCGTTATACACCGGTCACTGTTTTAGAAGAACCTCAGCCACACTTTTGGCCGAATCAGGGGCTGATCTTCTATCGCTTAAGCGCCATGGAGGCTGGAAGTCTAATTCGGTTGTAGAGGGATACATAGAGGATTCAATCCAAAGTAAATCAAAAATTTGTAATAGTATCGTGGAGGCCATAACGCTGAAAGAACCTCTGTCAGATTCTTGGTCTCGCCCTTCTACATCTAAAATGAGCCCCCATAAGATTGGAAACAATAGCCCTCTCTCGCCAACATTTACGCCAATAGAATCCAATGAATCGGCACAACTATTTAAAATTACTGATACGAGTAGTTTACCACAAAACAGCGCACAATTCACAAACACCAACATAACATTACCTAACAAAAATATTAAACTTAACATAAGTAACTGTAGCAACGTTACATTTAATATTTCTTAATTATTTTCTACTTCTTATTATTTTCTTCAATTTATAGATTATCTTAATGTGTTTTAATTGAAATAAAAATATTTTGTCATTATAAATTGTTTTCTTTTTCATTTTGTCATTTCCTCGCTGAGGTGGGATGAAAAGTTACGTATTGCACTCGAGTGGAAAGATTTTTCACCTTGTGCTCGTTTGTTTCCCTCGCTGACGCTCAGGATTCTAATTTAGAATCACTCGCTGCGCTCGTGATTCAACTTTAGAATCCTTCGCTTGCTCGGTCATCCAAATCGAGCACGCGGTTAAAAAGGAACTTTCCACTCTTGTATAATAAATAACTATTCTTCGTTAAAACTTATTAACTAAAAATAAGTGAGATAAAACATCAGTTTTTTTTAAATAAAACTTATTTACTAAGACTAAGTGAAAAAAATCATCAGATTTTATAAAATTTATTTACTAAGATTGAGAAAAAAAAACACCCATTTTTAATAAAAATTATGACTGTGTGAGTAAAAATATTAATCGGAATCTAGCCCTTCAATTCCGCTCAGCTCTGCATAACTACCGGAGTTGTCATCGTCGTCATGTTTGTTTACAAATGTTTGGTTTTTTTATTCTAGAATTAGCTGAGTGCTAAAAAAGAGTTCCAAGATTTTTTGCAAACCGTTCTTTTCAAGTGTCATTTGACAGATGGAGGTCATTGGCTTTCTTAATCTTATTTGAATCGCATTAAAGGCTCATGTATTTACTTTGTTATGTATGATGTACGATGACCAGCGCTATGTATGATGATAATTATGGCGTTTATAGAGTTCAAGTGGAAAACTCAGTTTTTAAGAAGGTATTAAGGTAATGCTAATGGAGACTTAAAATTGGATGAATCACAATAGATTTTTAACTTTATCGTTTAAGACGCAATGAAGTGATGTCAGTTAGATTCAATACTTGTCTAAGTGAAGTATTAATATTCAATTGCTTGAGTGAAGAAACCAATTTGATTAAAGTTTATCATTTATTGTTGTCTCAGAGTGCGGCCGTTAATTTCAATATTTTATTAACTACAATCGTAGGTAAGTACTTCAAAATGGTATTTTTAAGTAGTAAAGTAAGTGGTAGTCTTAAGTAATATTCCAAAATATGTACAACAACTTGTTTATATGAAAGATTAACGAATAAAATATCAAGCTACAATTATATATTTTTATTGCTTCTTCTCCCTTTGAGTTTTATAAGAAATGCGAAAAAAAAATATTAGTAGCATCACATCAACACCTACAAGTTATGTACAGGCGTCCCACGGGTTTGTCACACGGAGAGAAAGTACATTATATATTGAAGATAGGATATTTTACTGAAAGGACACATCATTTTATTTTTAATAATAATTAGAATTGCATTCATAGTTTTTAAAAATCGCCTGCCAATACCGGGAATCAAACTCGTGAAATGTGAAACAAAAAATACATTTATTTTATGATCTAACCGCCCGCCGTAAGGGTTAATCGTGAGGATTATTTTTTCTTAAATAATATAGTATTTTAAATGAAAGAAAAATCACGAAATTTGACTTTTTTTTAATTATTGAACACAAACTACAATAATAAAGAAATGGTGCAAGATTTGTTAGTATAAGTATCGCTTTTTTATTACCCTAGTATCCCATAACACAAGACTTACAGTGCTAAGTTTGGGGCTAGGCTAATTGGTGTGTGTTTTGGAAATATTTATTTATTATTTTTTCACGTAGTTAAAGTAAGGAAATCTTGTATTATTAAGTGAGCAGGTACTAGTTAGTAAATATTTTGAAATGATTACATTAGCTGTTGGAAGTACGGAAAAGTAAGAGGAAATTTTCCTGAACAAAATTTTAATTTCATGATCTTCCTTTCATTTAGAATGCTATGTTATTTTGGAAAAAAATAATTTATTATTTATTTATTCATAAATAACCCTTTCGATTGTATGATAACATACAATTGTATGTTACGTATACAATTGTATGTTATCGTATATAAAATCGTAAATACGTAATTTCTTTTTCAAATCTACGAGTTTGTAAAAAAAAGGCAGTGTCTAAAATATAAAGTAAAAATCGAAAAATGCGCTACCTAGTGTCCAAAAGTTGAACTAATATTTGTCAGTGAAAACCACGTTCACCACCAACATCATCTAGTGTTTAAAAGGCGAAACATAATTTGGGGAACCCTGCCATCCTGTGTAAAATTTTAAACTTGAGTTGTGTGATATATTGTTTTAAACTTTCATGGTCACTAACATTATAGATATTAACGGGATTGTTACCATGTACCTTGTGAATACTGTCTTCACTTGAATTTGATGTGGTCGTAAATAGGAGCTATTTTGGTGAATATCGATTCAGAGATCCAGAGGGTAGGGTACCTATAAGGGGCCACCTATGTAGGACGCGCCAAAAGTGAAATACTGGTATTGCAAGAGTTTTAAGTATAGGCATGGTCCAATCCAATAATAATAGGCTTTGATGGTTGCTTACCATTAGAAATAACAAAACGCAAACATGCATTTGTTAATCTTCCGTGTTTTCAAATAATTTCTTCTTAAATATTTTCATATAATAATATTTTTATTTTTTAAGCATTTAACTGCTAGATGTTTGAATCTAAAAAAAATTGTACTAGAAAAAAATCCACGCCGACCAGGCAGAATTCGGGACTCGTACCCGCACCCTTCGCTATCCGGGGGAATGCACTGACTACTATGTTATCGAGGCCCTGAGGGCCGTCAAATTTTCTCTAGATATTGCTTAAATAATTGCTCTACTGAAGTAGCAATGGGCAGAACACGTAGTGACGAGAACTGATAGCCGTTGGGGCTGTAAGGCTCTCATATGGCGACCGCGCTCGACGACACTCAGTGGGTACTTGAGTAACCCATACTCTTCGACTCGGACCGATGGCCTAGCGAAGGAGGTGGGAATCCGCTGGATGCGAGTGGAGCAAGACAGATCGGTGTGGAGATCCTTCAATGAGGTCTATGCTCAGCAGAAGGCATCGTGCGGCTGATATGATGATTTTCAATATATGCAGTCGTATAGGTATTTCGAGATTTCGATATTCAAACCCTTTGACAGCTAGTGCACCAAATTTTTTTTCGGTCTCACTAGACCAACATGCTAGACTTCAATACTTATCAAAATAAAATAAGGATAACACATTGCACATATAACTCGGTAATATGACTCCTATAAGAGTTACTGACTCAACAGCGACAGAATAACGAATGCAATTAAATTAAGTAGGTCATTACTTATAAAACCGGAAAAATAATATTACTGCCTATTATAACTTGTACATTTTTATTTAGCCCTTATTATCGTACTACGAGAGTCTATTTCAGGTAGTATGGGTTTGTTAATGCCTTTCATTTGAGTTGTGTTGTATAACCCCGACAAGTTGTCAATTAATTAATTAGAAGGAGTTAACTTACTGCAGTACTCAATGACGTCAATTAATTTTCAAGTTTCATTCAATAAAATCGATGCTGTTCCTTTTTTATTATTCCTACGATAACGATATTTATTTAAAAGCCTAAACATCACCACTGACAAGCATTAAAAATTGACGACATCTCTGAGTATGATTACCAACTACTCTTTTTCTATCAAATATAGTATTTCGAAGCTGTTACCTCTAAAAGTATAGTATAATAGTAGATGACAAAAAATGGAAAAAAAATATAGGTGCTTAGTATTTGGTTTAAATATTTATTTAAATAAAGGAGATAGAACATAGAATTCTTGGAGAAGACGCTACATTGGCAGCATTTACCATGCTGTGGTAGACATTTACCATCAGACACAGACGTTGCTAGGTGTCAATTTTGGCATAATTCTCTAAACTTAGCACTAAATTTAACATCAGTCTCTCATTTTCATTCTGTATAAAGAATGACAAGAATACACTGTTAACAAATTTGAAACAAGAATGACAAGTTAAACTGTTATCAAAGGGTAGTTGACACTTTTTGAAAATATGTTTTAAATGGTTAATAATTGTTATATTAGACCGAAAAAAATGTAGTGTAGTAATTATCATGATTGTATTATGCGAGAATGTAGAATTACAACGTTAAAGACTCCAGAAAAGTTGTGGTTTAAATTGCCCAGAAAAATAAACATATCTACACATGAACACATGTTTAAAACTTGTTAAATCCTGTAACTTTATCGACTGAAAGTCATTTCTTTTTGCAAAGATCACTTCGGTGTAAGTACTGATTCAATAATATTTTAAGTTTAAATTAAAAAGTTTTTTTTTTAAGTTTATTAATGTACCTACTAAGTAAGAAAGCTTTGTCGTTTCTGCTTTTACAAATTCAGCGTCCAGCATTAATTTAGTCAACAAAACCAATAAACGGAAACTCTTCTACAAGATATAAGAGTCTTTTGATATATTTTAGTCCGACGAAAGAAACCATAGTAACACAACAATGACGTTTAGTTGTTTACAAATTTTGTGACGTCACAATCATGGCGGACAGCGTTTTCAGTGTTTAAAAAATACTTTTTATACACTGAAAACGCTGTCTATACAGACTAAAAATATTTTTTTCAAATTAGATTACTACAGCCATCTTCTGATTTTATGAAGTGAAATCGATGTATTTAAGTTCCTGGTACCAAAAACTATAAGAAATGAACATTTGTATAGTTTATAAGTAACGGAAAATATGATTTCCTATTCTAGTGAGTTATGTTATTTTGCAAATTTGTACAAATTAAAAGAAAATACGTAGATTTTGGGACTGAAGTTAGTAGGTTTGTAGAAAAGGCCTAAAATACGTAGATCTACGTAAAAAGACGTAGGGTTGGCAAAACTGCTAGTAGGGTTGGCAACTCTATCTCTGAGTCTGAAATTTCACGGGCTGTTTAAGTTGCAGGTGCGCAAATCTAGAAACTTGGGTTGCCAGTGCGATTACAAGTTATTCGAAAAATAAGGCCCATTAAGAGTTAGGAAGGTAAAAACCGGTTTTCTTGCGATTAACTCAAGCAATTGAGACGTACTTTGGCTAGAAATGATCGTGAGGAATTTCTCGAACTATCCCTCAAGTTTATTCGAAGAACCAAATTTAGAGTTGAGTGTGACTGTAACTAACATTGATCATAGTTTAAATATAATGTAAAATAATAAAAAAAATCAGAGTTAATTTTGTCACAAACTGTTTTCAATCGGAATAAAATTACACACATCAAAAGTGTCTAGGGATCAAGCATTTTTATGCGGATTTCTTGAGATTGAGATGTGGCTTTGTAATAAATTTATGATTTTATAAATTTATATGGATCCTTTTTGGTGCATTTCATAATTTGAATCAGGAACTGTGAATCAAATTCGAGTAAAAGATGAAAATCAGCTGTCAATATTTTCCCTATAAAAACATACAACGCATTGAAGACATTATTAGTGCTACTGTTTCCCTACTACTGATTAAAACCAACGTTATTATGGAGCGGCGACGTCATTTAAGCAGGGAAGAAATGCTCAGAGCCGTGGGAATGATAGAAGCTGGTTCCCGGCAACGTACTGTGGCTTTAGCTCTGAATACAAGTCAGAGTGTTATCAGTCGACTTTGGACACGATACCGAAGCACTGGTACCGTGGCTGAGCGCCATGGAGGACGGTATCGCTGCACCACACGGAGACAAGACCGATACATTCAAATCTTAACTCGAAGAGCTCCAACAATAACCGCCATGATGTTAGCCGTGAGGTTTCATCACTCTTCAGGGAACTTAATTAGCGACCAAATAGTCAGAAACCGCTTGCATGAAGTGAACCTTCATTCCCGAAGACCGCTACGGGTACCACCTATAGCAATGCACAATCGTAGGATTCGATATCAATGGGCTCTTGAACACAGAAATTGGGCAGAAGAACAATGGCGTTTCGTGTGCTTTTCTGATGAGTCTCGTTTTGGTATGAGACCGGATACAAGACGTATACGACACTGGAGAACCCCTGGACGCCAACAGCGATTAAAATCCTGCCAGGAAGTCCATCCTTATAGTGGTGGAACCATCATGGTATGGGCGGGTATTTGGATCGGCGGAAGAACTGAGTTGATTTGGATCAGAGGCAACCTCAACGCTCAAATTTATGCTGAGACGATTGTATCAGACGTCATCGTTCCTCTACAAGTGCAAATCGGTCCCTTATTTCAGTTAATGCATGATAATGCACGACCGCACACCGCAAGAGTTGTAAGACAGACTCTCGCCGCAGCTAACATCAATGTCCTGCCCTGGCCTGCTCAGTCGCCAGACTTGAACCCGATTGAGCATGCATGGGATATGCTACAGAGAAGAGCTCTGCCGAATATGGAGGGTATCCAGTCGCAAGAAGACCTTTTTTTGTTGTTGCAACGAACATGGGCGGCCATTCCACAGCGTGATTTGGATGAACTCATTTTGAGTATGCCAAACCGATGTTCTTGTGTTGTTAGTGTTCGCGGTAGAAATACGGATTATTAATTGTTTAAGTTACCCAATAAAATTTTAGAGAAAACTGTTATTTCAGTCTTTTTTTCGAACTTTTGTGTTAGTGGTTCAAATGTCAAAAATCCCTTTATTAGGAAAATGGCAAATTTCTTTATTAATGCAAAGGTGACTTGGTTTATCGTTACTGTGACAAACGAAAACACTTTATTTGATGAATCCTTAAAGAAAATTTTAATTAATATCAATCAGGAGAAAAGTTATTGCAAAAATATATGTTGATCCCTAGACACTTTTGATGTGTGTATTTAAACTTTTCAATTCCATTTTTACATTTCATCAACAATCAAAGCTTGCTTAAGAAAATATTGCTAATTTATTTTATACTAAGTATTTAATGTTTACGATCTTATATTCTACTTCTTAATACTTACTATGTTGTTTAGAAATTTTCCTTTCAATCCAACCCGGATCGTCCGATTATACTGTGATATCCGTTCACTGAATAAGCATATTGCTGCAATTTCTCTGAGTTATCAACGGACTTCTCAAAAATGTTAGGCAAATTACATAAAACGCGATTTATAATAAGCTTTCTTAAAGATTATTAGATAAGCTCACTGAAGCTTGAAGGTATTTGCCGTTGAGCTTCGCCACACAACAACCACTCTTACACCCGCAATCTTAGATTAAAATTGTTTTAATCTAAGCCCGCAATAAATGTAGTTTCACATCAAAAAATTTTTTTTCGATCTTTACAATCGCTGTATTAAGCAATGGTGAATCTAACTACACCTAGCCGAGTTCTTTCATTTTTATCGGTCTTAAAAGCGCGTTTTATCTCTCAACAAATAATCGCGAGAGTACCTTAATGCAGAATATTTTACGTATTACTGTGCTATAGAGAAGTCTGCAAATTATGCTGGCAACGTCTCGTAAGTGTAGTTTGCGTGTACGCTGGTCAATGTTTACATTGTGGAAGTGTGACGAATGCGGCAAGGGAGGGGAGGAATGTTGCGGCGCCGGTGGCGGCGGCCGGCGGCGGCCCACCTTGAGTGGGCAGGTTCCGCGGGTGATCCCGTCGCGCGCCTCCGCGTCTCCGGCTCTCCGCTCGCCAGTCGACCGGGCGCTCCCACAGCGAACATGGCTGGCGCGAAGTTTTCGTGGCGCTGTGCGTGTATATTTATAGTGATCTTGTTTACATTCGCCGACGCTCTGCTCTCCGGTTTGTACATAGACAATGGTGATCAGACGATGATACATCATGCGATGACGCGACACGAACGGTTGGTCGTGGAGCATGAGATTCTGGAACTGTTAGGGTTGGGAGAGCGGCCGAGGCGGGCGCGGTCACCGGCATTGGATCGGTCGGCACCCAGCTTCCTCTTGGATGTGTACAAACAGCTGGCAGAGGAGCACGAGCAGGCTCGACCCACCCGCAGCTCTGATATGGCGCTCAGCGGAGAGGAACAGCAAGCGATTGACGAAAGCGATCTCATAATGACTTTCCAAAGCAAAAGTAAGATATTTTCCTTTATTAATTTTTACAGCGCGATTAATTCAAGACAGGCGTCGTTGAACATAATGTGGTAATGGTTCCTACGATTCGAATGAATAATACTGTATTCGTATACTTACTTAAAATTGAATAACATTTTCATTAAATAAAACAGCTTTGTGCACCAATAATAAAGTACGTCAAGAGTTTAGGCCAGAGAAGATAATTGTTTACAACATTAAAAATTATAACAGTACTTAACCCATTTTAAAAGGAAGAGAACATATTAAAAAAATACTTAAACTTTTTTCACATAACCCATAAAATATTTGCAAACAATCATAATAACCGCACCGCCTTCTTGGTTTTTTATTATTATCTACCCGAAAAACCTTATTTTTCCACGAAATTTGGTAAAAATTTTCGTTTTCATATCCCAAGCACGCTCTTATTTTTTGATTCAAAATATTAATTTTTACTTCTCATTTTGATATTATAAATAATCTAAAAAGGAACCTTATTTTCAATCGAAAAATCGCCCGTCAAAAAAGTTGCTTTTAAAAAAGTTGGTGCGGTTTTAGTTCATTGGAACCTCTACTTTCTAATGATGTACAAAAAATATTTTACATTAAAAGGGATTTTTTAGAGAAATGCAAATGCGTCGTCACGACAAGTTAATAAAAGACGACGACAACGTAACCGCCTCCGATTCCTCCCAAACAGGCTACAAACACCAACACTACACAGCTAGCAAACTTGCACATTAGCTTTTACCTCTAGAGGCACTACTCAATTCTCGGCTTGAGGTTCCCAAACCCAGTGTCATTCGCGTTTATCGCACCATACACACTCCAAAAAAAACGACCAAACGTTTTTGTATTTTCTGAGAAAACATAGTAATATGTATGTATTTTATTTTGTACAAGTACTAATAGAAAGCAAAGGTTCCAATTAACTAAAAACGCACAAGTAGGTTATACCTACCGAAACTTGCAATTTTGAACAATGATGATTTCTGTACTTAGAAAAGTTTATGGCTCTAAATTTATAATTTAATAGGGAAGATGCAATATTTTTATTTTTGTTTTCATTTTAAAGAATTCCATGTAGAATAAACCACAGATTTATTAAAAAATTAAAACATTGTGATTTATCGGAAAAAATGCGGTTTTAAATTGACAATTTAAATTTTCGCGCGAAAACGAACCTATGGTTGCGATGACGTCACTCCTGGCAGTCACTGGTCATAATTGTTCGTTGCTGGCTTTAAAATTTCATACTTTTGCATATTTTTTCGACTTTCGAAATATTTTTTTGAAAAATTAAAAATCTACTATCCATCAACATCATGTGATCATAACAATACCACTAATATTCCGAAAAAAAGCCGTGCTGACTCATGTTTTGTGCCAATCTACTTCAACAAAGTTCCCAAATAAATTGTTTTTTTTTGACTCGCGAAGAGAAATGACAATTATTCTCCAAAGACTTGTTACTATACTTGTTATATGCTTAATTAATCTGCTTGTACGTAAAAACGCATTAGTAACCTACCTAATACTTACAAAACCTGTCTATAATATATTTTTATTTTTACAGTTGGAGAATGACGCTGAAGCTTTGCGTTTCACAAAATAACTGTAACACGATAACCTTCTTTACGTACTTTATGCTCCGGAGAACTCGACCTTTTACTATACATTATTTTCCATCTCTTTTAATTTGGACATAGCCGATTGCATTATCGCCGTAAGATTTGTAGAAGCCGCTGAATAAAATACGAAGTTTAACAACTACGATTTTTACATCCCGTAGTAATTTAGTCCCTTTCATTTCTACACTTAAAAACTCTGCACTTTGGACAAAAAAAGTTATAACCATGTCAACGCTAACTCTTGGTAAATTCCTGGAGTCTGCTTTGATAAACGCAACTTCCATTTTTATTTAATGTAAAAAACGCCATTAATATTCCCATAAAATAATATTAACTTTAACAATAACCATAACCTCAAAGAAGTTGTCATAACAGGAGTGACGTCACTGAACGCTGATTGGTGTTTTAATATACGTTCCGTTTCAAGTATTTTTAATTCGTAATAATTGTTAAAAGACAACATTATGTAAAATAAAAACGTTGCAGTGGCATTTCTTTTATATTTTTTTAACATTTTAATCATAAAATTTTCATAAATATTATATATGCATCTTCCCTATTAGGCAAGTAGTAGTTACTTTCCCCTAAAAATATAGTATGTTGCAAAAAAAAATTGTATGTGTTTAAAAATTTTATATTTAAAGAAAAAGTAACAAGAAACAATTCCAGGATTTTTTTTGTAAAATTTTCTCTAAATTTTATCATCAAGCAGTTAAGTGCTTATAAAAAAAATATAACAATTTATATTTACTTTGTTTTTCAAATTAATATTTCTTGCTGCTTTGCGCCTTGATAATTAAAATTATATTTTTAAGAAAGCTTATTGTAAAGTCCGAATTACGCAAAATAAAATAGTTTCGCCTACTACACATATATATTTTTTTCTTTTGGTTATAGTATTCGATCCTCTAATATAGTAGGATACTAATTACTTATATTACCTTTAAAGTTGGTTTGGCAACCTTAGACAAACGTATAGGAAGACAAGGTTTTCTAATGAGCTATATTTGGGGCACTTTATTTTTAATTAATGACCATTATATAAGTGGTCATATATTTTCTTATACCTAATTGTAGCAACAATATAAAACATGAAAGAAACTTACGATTTAAAGAATTACCTGAACATTAGCACCTTTTGTGAAGTTGAATTTATACCAGTCAAACCAATAGCTTTGATGAAACATATAATTATCAACTACCTATGGATGGATTAATTTGAAAGAGATATTTTTTTATATAAAATCATGTCCTACTAAGCGATTAGGACCAAGGAATCCGAAAATCTACGAGATATACTGATTCCTCGATTGTTAATTTATCAGAGTTTATCTTTGAGGTTGCGTTTTCGGCTACATTCCTAAACTTTTTGTGATAGAGAACCTTTTTATTTTTTTATTATATTCTAGTATCTACCTATCATTTCTGTTCGTACAACTTCATCGGAGGTCTTTTTTGTTTAACATCAACTAAGTCGTAAATCTGGGGATTTGGTGCCGTCGGCAAAATGTCAGACATCAGGCAGGTACTTAACTGACGATGACTCAGGAGTAGGGACTGCTGATGACGCCGCCGGTTGCCAACCACATTGATTGAAACCGGCGCCATTAAACAAAATAATAAAAGAAAAGAATGACCATTATCTATGGACATAACAAGGACCAAACTTTTTTATATTCAAACTGTCTCACGTTCCTATTGAAATTCCAAAAGACTTACAGGTCGATGGGTAGTTCGAACACGCTCATCAGTACTTTTGTTACTAACTTAATTAGTTCGGTTCTAGGAATTGCAATATGACAATATTGTGGGAATTGGGTATTAATATGTGCTGTTATCATTAAGTATGAACGATAAAACAACTGCTTTGTATTCATACATACATACAATAGAAAGCTTATTTGTATTATGTTCAACTTAAAAGTGTAGTAGGTTTTTTTTTATTCATAATGGTCCGAGGTTTTTTTATTTGCATTTATATTGGAATTTAGTTTTGGTTTGTTCTTCAAAATTTCTCATAAGTCTCTATTTGCATAAAATATAGCGTACGTGATATGTTACATTTCGGTTAAAAAAAAGAGAACTTATCACATATTTAGCTGTCACACAGTATGCTATACTTTGCAATACTTAACTTTAGTTTTTTGAGAGCCCTAACATTTTTCGGGATAAATATCCTTTATCTTAATCCAGGTCATAAACTACATGCGACGTGCCAAATTTCATCCATGAAATTCGTTGTCGTTTTTGTGTGATTGAGTAACTATCATCATCATCATCATCAACAGCTTATCATAGTCCACTGCTGGACATAGGCCTCTCCAAATGCACGCCACTCAGATCGATCTTGGGCTACTCGCATCCAGCTCCTGCCAGCCACCTTGCGCAAATCGTCACTCCATCGTGTCTGAGGACGTCCTACACTACGTTTGCCTAGACGCGGTCTCCACTCCAGAACTCATCTACCCCAACGGTTATCGGTTCTTCGGCAAATATGGCCAGCCTACTGCCACTTCAACTTGCTAATCCGGTGGGCTATGTCAATAACTCTGGTTCTCTGTCGGATTACCTCATTTCTGATGCGATCTTTCAGAGAAACGCCGAGCATAGCCCTTTCCATAGCGCGCTGAGCGACTTTGAACCTGTGGAACAGCCGTGCCGTCAGTGTCCACGTCTCGGCTCCGTTTGTCATCACAGGTAGGACGCACTGATTGAAGACTTTCGTCTTTAGGCACTGTGGGATCGACGAGGTCAGGACTTGACGTAGCTTCCCAAATGCTGCCCAACCCAGCTGAACTCTTCTATTCACCTCGTCCTCAAAGTTGTTTCTACCTAACTGCAATGTCTGCCCGAGGTATACATATTTTTGAACAACTTCGAGAACGGCACCGTGTATTGCAATCGGTTCCGGTAGAACATGTTCATTGAACATGACCTTGGTTTTATCCAAGTTCATCCGTAGGCCGATGCGTATAGAAGAGTCAGCCAGGTCATTCAGCATCTGTTGTAGGTCCTGCAGGGTTTTTGCCATGATGACGATGTCGTCTGCAAATCGCAAGTGAGAGATGCGTTCGCCATTTATGTTAATGCCATGTCCTTTCCAGTTCAGCGTCTTGAACATATCCTCCATTGCATTAGTGAACAATTTCGGGGAAATAACGTCCCCTTGTTTCACTCCACGATGCAACGATATGGGACTTGTTTGCTGATTCTGAACTTGGACAGACATGGTGGCGGCTTCGTAGAGACATCTTATCACTTGGATGTATCGCCAGTCGACTTGGCAACGCTGCAGGGACTCGTGGACAGACCAGATTTCAATCGAGTCAGAGGCCTTCTCATAGTCCACAAATGCTAGGCACAGGGG